AGGCAAGCTGGCTCCACCTGTATACATCCCCAGAGGGAGAGGGGAAATTTTTTTTCTTGTACCCCACATTACCCTGGTGACCAGAGGTGTGGCTGGCCTCCAGCCACATACACTGCAGGGAAGCCTCTGCTCTCAAGGCTGTCAAAGTTGCATCAAAGTATATGGGGAGTTAGCAACATCGACCCTGGCACCTGGAATCAGGTATGACCTATTCCAGACGTGAAGATCTGGTTCTGGTCAGCCCTGGACTAGAGGCACCTCTCACTCACCCTTGGCTCCCCTCTGGAATGGAAATACCCAGGTCCCCCAGCTGCTTTGGGGTCAGCATAACCTCCTTCCTGATTTGGTTCCCAGACCAGACAACACATAGTGTTACAGGAACTCCATCTAGGGTTCAGTGTTCCTGTCCCATCCCATCCCTTACATCCCCACAATGTGAGGTCCTGTGCAGGCAGGGACTCCTAATTGCGTTTAGGTCTTTTTCTTTCTTTTTCTTTTCTCTCTGTTGTTTTTGCTCTTTTTTAAGTTATTTTCCTCTCCTTCCTTTCTCTCTTTAGTTTTTATATTCTTTTTCTAGCTGTTGCCAGTTTGTTTTTCTTTACTGTTTTTTTTTGCTGTTGTTTGCTTGTTTGTGTTTGCTTTCCTTCTCTCTTGTGTGTATGTTTTCTCTTCTTACATCATTGACAAGAGTCAGCATCCATACCCATACAGTCTGGTCAGAAAATAAGTCTCAAAAAATTTTAAAACATTAAAAGACTACAAAAAAACCAAAACACTGCAAATCATCTTCTCAGATCACAAGGCTATAAAATAAGAAATCAACACTAGAAAGAGCAAAGAAACAAAAACAAACGCATGGAAATTGAATAGTAAACACCTTGCTTAAAAGCTACTGAGTGATAGAACAAATTAAAAATGAAATTAAAAAATTTCTTGAAGCAAAGGAGAATGAAAACACACATATCAAAACCTCTGGGACACAGAAAAGCAGTCCAAAGGGGAACTATTTATAACAATAAATGTGCACATCCCAAAAGAAGAACCAAAATCAACACATTAACACAACATCTCCAACAATTAGAAAAAGACCAGCAAAGTAAGCCTACAGTCACCAGAAAAAAATAAATAATAAAGATTAGAGCAGAAATAAATGAATAAGAAAACAGAAAAACAATAGAAATAATCAACAAGATATGAAGCTGGTTCTTGGGAAGGATTAATAAAATTGGCAAACCATTGGTAAATCTAACAAAAGAAAAGAGGGAGAAGACACAAGTAACATGCATAAGAAACTATATGGGTGATATCACAACAGAAACAATGAAATAAAGAGGACAATAGAATACTATGTACTCCAATAAATTTGAAAATCGGGAAGAAAATAAATTTTTAGAAAACTAAAACCTACTTAAACTAACACAGAGTGAAGCAGAAAAACTTGAACAGACCTATTAAAAAAAGAACAAATTGATCAGGTTATTTAAAAAACTCCAACAAAAAAAAAGTCCAGGCTCAGGTGACTTGCTGATGAATTTTACCAAATGTTCAGAGAAGAGTTGACACCAATTTTATTAAAGCTATTCCAGAACATAGAAAAGAATGGAAAACTCCCAAATACATTTTACAAAGCAATCATAACTCTCATACTAAAACCAAGCAAGGACATCACTGGAAAATAGAATTAGAGACCAATACCTCATGAACATGGTTTGGCACTGTGGGATAATATGCTGGACTGCAAAGACGGTTTGAACAGCAAGGCCGGCAGTTCAAGTTCACCAGATGCTCCTTGGAAGCCCTTTACAGGGTTGCTATGGGTCTGAACTGACTCAATGGCACTTAACAACAACAACAATATACCTCATGAACATAGATGCAAAAATTCCTTACAAAATCCTCACCAATGGAATTCAACAACATATATTAAAAAAAAAAAAAAAAAAAAAA